CAAGATCCAAAGAGATTCTGCGAGCTTCTCATGAGTTTGACATCAGAAGCCACAGAAGTGACAGCAAGCTCATAGCCACAGCAGAGCCTGCAAAAGGACACTGGGTTTGCAAAAGTCCCCAATTTCTTAAACACATTTGGAAGACAATTATTTGAAAGTTAAAGAGAGATCTTCAATGCAGCAGAGCAATTAATCCACCTGGTGAGTGATCCTTCATCCCAGATTAAAGATAAGAGCAAAGGAACAATTTAAAGGATTTAGAAATAATTAAAGGAAAAAAGCTTGCCAAAAGTTTAAATTAAGAAAGTTTAAAATGCAGTAAGGGGCAGTTGAATTTGGATTTACTGATTTTAACGTATTTTTAAAACATGTAAAAATTAATATATATCTCTGTGGGAAAGAGTTTTATTTGGAATAACTGGGGACAATGATTGGACAGTATCGCAAAACAAAAGGTAAGGGAAAGTTGCTAAAGGCCATCTGACTATAGAAGTGTGGTGTGCTGAATGGGACTAAAGAATTAACAGTTTATAGAGCAAGGGGGAAAAGGCCCTCTTTTACTTTTATTTCCCCTTTCTGGATTGAAATGGCTATTATGAAAAGTAGTGAAACTTGCAGAAATGACAGAAAAGGTTATTACACTTGAGGAATTCCAAACTATCTTTGAGGAATTGGGAAAGAATGTTACTGCTACAATAACAGCATTTAAAAGAGATCTGAAAGAAGAGATGAAAGAAGAGATGGGAAATAACTTTGAAGACTCTGCAGGACAACTGAGTGGAAAGGAGAAACAAATTAATGTCAAGATGGAAATTTGGAAAATAAAATAGAAATAATAAACAAAGAGAAAATACAAATATTAAGTCAAGAGATGAAAAATAATGCAGATAATGGATTAATACTGTATTTGCAAGAGAAAGAATCCTGTATAAGACCAAGAGTACTAATAAGGAAAAGATTGAAGTATTTTTTTTTAATTTTTTTAATTACAAAAAAAAGAGAGAGAAAAAATACATAATAGCACTTTAACCTAAAAGTGAAAAAGTACAACAAAAAAAAGTTAATATATCATAATAGTACACAGTTCCAATTCTACATATGCATACCTAATACAAATGTTATTCAAGGACATATATCCTGGTTGTTTTTTCTTTTTTTTAATCAAGTTTATTTTGTATAAATGAGTCCCATATTTTGTTATACTTATCCATACAAAGTCTACATCTGTAGGCAATCCATTCATAAGTAGCAAGTGTAATCAGGTCTTCAATCCATTGACTAAATGGAGCCATACCTTTATCTTCCCAATATTGCAATATCAGTCTTTTGGCCATAGTAAGGACATGGAGAATCCATTTATGTTGTCCAGTTGTCAAGTTTCATGTGCTAGGTATATAGTTCAAAAGAATATTATCTTCTGAAAAACTTAGCTTTTGTTGCACAATCATATTTATATAGTCCACTACTTTCTCCCAAAATTTAATAAGCATAGGACAGTGTAAAAACTTATGCTTTAAAGAGGCATTGTGCTTACTACTTCTCCAGCAAAATGCTGTTTTTGACAGTCCTTTTCTATACTTATATGGAGTCCAATAAATTCTAAATATTATTTTTTTATTGTATAAGTCATAATTTAAAGTCCATTGACACTCTTGGTATAGAAGTTGAGACACTCTCCCATTGTCTAGGCAGTATAGAAACCTCTAATTTTTTATTCCACTCATCCGTTAGCATCTGCATATCAAATTTATTTATTGATAAGAAATACCTACACAAACTACTAGTAGGTGTTTTAGTTTTAAAGGATTTAACCAGATGTTCTAATATTTCAGGTGTCTTATAAGGTGAAAATTTGTTGGTTAAAGATGTTGTTAATAAATCTTGTAATTGTAAATATTGCCACTGGGTGACATCTGATAGATGATATTTATCTCTTAACACAGCATACATTAAAAATTTATCTTCATCATCTATCAGTTGGTCCAAAGTCAATATCCCCGCTTCCATCCAGTCTTTCCATATCACCATCTTTTTCCCAATTTTTAAGGTTGGGTTTCCCCATAAAGTCAGTTTGGTATGGGAAAAAGGGTTAAAGTTATATTCTTTGGTATAGACATACCTAAATATTTAATAGATTCAGTACAAATATGGAATTGATATTCCTTAAATGAATGGGTAAGCAAGGCTTCACCTACTGGCATCAATTCTGATTTGGACCTGCTATACAGTATCCTGCTATTTTATTAAAGGTAAATACTCTGTCATTTGCATCAACACTGGAATAGTAGTATGAGGTTTAGAAACAAACAAAAGAATGTCACCTGCAAATAAAATCTATTTATGTTCAGCTGAATTGTGTACTGCTCCATAGATCTCCCTGTGTTGTCTAATAGCTCAAGCCAAGGGTTCCACGCAAATGATAAAGATCAAGGGGGTGAAAGTGGACATACTCGTCTAATTCCTCTAAACAGTGGGAAAGTAGAAAACATACCATTAACCTTTACTTTACATGTGGGCAACTCATATAATATCTTAATCCATGTTATAAATTCCAAAGGAAATCCAAATCTATTCAATATGGCAAACATCTACTGCTTGTGTGTTTTGTCAAAGGCTTTTTCAGCATCTAATGATAAAATTACAAATTAATCTTCGTTTTTATTCAAATCTATTAAATCTACAACTAACCTAATATTGTCTGCTGCTTGCCTAGTTTTTATAAACCCTGCTTGATCATTCTTAATAACAAACAATATCACCTGCTGTAATCTATTTGCCAACACTGCTGTTAGCATCTTTGTATCAACATTAGTCAAAGAGACTGGAAGATAGTTAGCACACTGAATATGATCTTTACCTGCTTTTGGTATAACTTTAATACAAGCCTGATTAAATGCCAGTGATAACATTCCCTTATCAAATATCTCTTCATATACTTGATGAAATTTTGGCACCAAAAGATCTATAAATGTTTTGTACCACTCGATGGGAAATCCATCTAATCCTGGTGTTTTACCATTTGCCATTTTTATGCTTCCCATTCAAAAATTTGGGCACTTGATATCAAAAATTTGTATGCTTTATATGCTTCCCATTCAAAAATTTGGGCACTTGATATTTCTGAATTCAAATCAAAATATTTTAAAGTCTCTACCTGCATTTGTTGTACAAATTCTTTATCAATAATCCATGGCCCAACAGAATCAAACCATACAAAAATAAAATCTGGAATGAATTCCAAAATAAAGATTTTACTTTAATATCCAGTAAAACCATATGAAATCTAAGTGGATTCACAGGGATACAAGTGATTATTTTCATTGATACTGACATTCATATAATGAGTGAAATTATACTGGATGGCTGATTCCATGCTTTGTTGTTGAGAATGTCCCCTTCAAATTTTTTTTTTTTTTTAATTCTCCAAAGTATGTTTTGTGTATTGCTGGAGACCTGGAGCTAAATCAAGGTCCGAGAGTTTTTCCTAGATTCCTTGAAGGAAGACTAAAACACAATGGAATATTTCATTATGCACCACAGAAAAACACAAAAAGAAAGTTACCACATCTGATAGAAAATTAAACATAATGTATTAATCAAGTTGAACAGAACTTGGTGACCAGGAACATGGCCAGGTAGTTCTCTTGGCAACTATGAAATAAACTGAAAATGGTTGGTCACGGTATTTTGAATCAACTCCATTCTGTGAATATTTTTCAGAGGCCACCCTGAATAGAAAGATCAATATGAGATGGCATTCACATAACATGCTAAGACATGACTTGCTTAATAGTTGTTCACTGCTGGCTAGGGAATTCAAGGAGTTGAAGTCTACACATCTTAAAGTTGCTAAGTTTCAGAGACACTGGTTTACTGAATAAAGTAAAGTTGGCTTATGAAGCCATAATCCCTGCTTTACAGAACACAAATCATACAGACCTTTCTTTAAAAGTACATTTATTGTAGTGACTCCAATAAACTAGGGAATTAGACAATAATTCTCCCATCAATTCAAAAGTTTACTACTATACTTCCCACTGAGGTACATTCAATAAATAGCACACAGTCAGTATATACTGTAGCACACATAATAAATCCCTTTAACAATCAAAATCCATCACAATGAAAATAATATAAAATTTCAACTTGCTGAAAAATAAATACTTTACTTTAATATTAAGAATAGATGAACCCTAAGGGGATTTCATGTTTACATGTAATACTTCTTTCAGGTAAGGAATCATATAAATACAGGTGAGTTTCAGAAACTTCTGCATTCCTATAAGGATCCTTCAAATGATATTGGATGGTACCAATAGAGGTGAACATGTATAGCTCAGGGTTGAACTGTGGAGTCCTTGGGGTTCTCTGAGCTTGGTTCTTTTCTTGCAAACGTTTCATTACCTGGCTAGGTAACATCTTCAGTGCTAAAATGGGATGGGGTTTGCTCTCTATTTATACGCTGTGGCCTGCCTTGCCAGTGCTGATAGGAGTGGGGGGTTTGTTTTGCTCCTCTGGTGGTTCCTTGATTAGCATATGTTTACTGCTTGATTGTGTGCCTGGTGGTAACCTTTGCTTATCTGAGTGATGATTGCTGGTGATTGATTGCTGGTGAGGCGATCTTCTGGTCTTTTGTCTCTTTTGAACAGTGTGTAGATGCTGTTTTAGCAGCATCTCATTTTAGCACTGAAGATGTTACCTAGCTGGGTAATGAAAGGTTTGCAAGAAAAGAACCAAGCTCAGAGAACCCCGAGGACTCCACAGATATTGGATGGGCTGAATCCATCCTGTCTGTTGAAGAACATCCCTTTCTAAAAAATCATTTTCCTTTCTACCAAAAATCTGCTTGGTTTATGGTCACAGAGTCTTTCCTAGACTCCTTGAAGGGAAACTAATGTACAGTGAAATATTTTCATATAAGAATAAATCTAAGAAACTTTAGGAAGTGGAGTGATCTAAATATGCTGAGTTATGCATTACAACAAAACACAAAAGGAAAGTTACTTTTCTTTCCTTATTAAATATTCCTTCTTGTTCATCCCAGGCCTCAATAAAATGATATAGCATTTGGGGGAAAATATACATCCCAGTAAGCCAGCGCTGGAGGATAAGATGGAAAAGATCTCCATGGCTACCATGGATTTTCCTTTGGTGCTCAGGTAGGTTGGAACAAAGGACAGCCAAACACTGCAAAAGACCACCATGCTGAACGTGATAAACTTGGCCTCATTGAAACTGTTGGGCAACTTCCTGGCTTGGAAAGCCACATTAAAGCTGACAGTAGCCAGGAAACCCATGTAACCCAGGACACAGTAAAGCATGATCACTGAGCCCTCATTACATTCCATTATGATTTCCCCCGTCAGTGAGTGCAGGTCTGTATCTGGGAAAGGAGGAGAGGTACTGAGCCACACTATGCAAATTCCCACCTGGATGAAGGAACCCGAAAGGACAATAGAATTGGTCAGTACTTTCCCTACCCATTTTCTCATTCCAGAGCCTGGTTTGGTTGCCATGAAGACCAGAATCACCGTTATGGTTTTTGCCAATACAGATGAAAGGGCCACTGAAAAGATAAATGTCGAAAGTCATTTACCAGAGAAGGCAGGTCATCTTTTCAGGACTTCCAATGAAAAGGAAGGAGCAGAGGAAGCAGAGAAGAAGTGAGAAGAGGAGGATACAGGTGAGGTTCAAGCTGTTGGCTTTGACAGATTGGAGTCTCTCAACACATCCAAAAGATTCCAAGCAAGAGGGTTGTAATCAAAGAGAAAACTATAGCCAATATAATGAAGAAGATTCCCAAAGGTACCATATAATAAAATATAATATTATATAATATTACATTATATTAATATAATTTAATATAATAATAATAAATTATTATAATATACAGTACAATATACATTATATATTTTTGTTTTGGTTAGTTGTAGACAAACCAGTAGTGGCAAGATCCTCGAACAGAGGAAAGGGATGGAATATTTCTATAAGTTGGCAAATTAGTTGAAAGACTGCTCAGATGGAAAAGTTGATTTAAAAAAAAAAAGATGTCAGTAACAGAATAATTGTTCTTTTATCCATCTGTTTTTTCTTATTAACAACAAAGTCCTAATGATTGTTCACTACTAGTTCCAGGTTCCTAGATAATTTAATTACATCAGGTTATATTATTTTGATTTCATACTCTCATCAGTGTATGGTAAAGAAAATTATAGTTTTTAAAAAATAAATAAATAAGAGAAACACATTGTAGCTGCTGTACCATACCTCTAGCAGCAGAACAGCTGATTAGTGCACTAGACATCATAGCTCAGCTCTGGTCTCAACCAGCTCACAAAATTCATAAAAATCTAACAATCAGCTTTCACTAGCCACTAGAAGAGAGCTGCAGCACACCACTGACTCAAATCCCACAGTATCAATCCAAGGCAAGGATGGGCTTGCCTGTTATATGAAGGATACCAAAGAACCAAAATAAATATATGCCTCGACTTCTTTCTGAATGGCTTTCTAAAGTCTTTTTCATGGCTATTAGCTCCAGCTTCTTTGATTGTTTTAAACTGATAAATTTAATTTGTGCATTGAAAAGGACATTTCATTGATTTCCTTCAGGATAATTCCATCTACATAGGAGGATTTGTCTCTAAGTGAATGCTTTTAATGGCACAAAATAATAACCCATCAACAAAAAACAGAGAGAGAGAGAGAGAGAGAGAGAGAGAGAGAAAACAAATACCACATCTGATAGAAAATTAAACATAATGTATTAATCAAGTTGAACAGAACTTGGTGACTTCAGGAACAGGGACAGGTAATTCTTTTGGCAACTGTAAAATAAACTAAAAATGGTTGGTCACAGTATTTTGAATCAACTCCATTCTGTGAATATTTTTCAGAGGCCACCCTGGATAAAGGGATCAGCATGAGATGGCATTCACATAATATGCTAAGACATGACTTGCTTAATAGTTGTTCACTGCTGGCTAGGGAATTCAAGGAGTTGAAGTCTACACATCTTAAAGTTGCTAAGTTTCAGAGACACTGGTTTACTGAATAAAGTAAAGTTGGCTTATGAAGCCATGATCCCTGCTTTACAGAACACAAATCATACAGACCTTTCTTTAAAAGTACATTTATTGTAGTGACTCCAATAAACTAGGGAATTAGACAATAATTCTCCCATCAATCCAACATTTTACTAGTATACTTCCCATTGAGATACATTCAATAAATAGCACACATAATTAATCCTTTAACAATCAAAATCCATCACAATGAAAATAATATAAAATTTCAACTTGCTGAAAAATAAATACTTTACTTTAATATTAAGAATAGATGAACTCTAAGGGGATTTCACGTTTACATATAATGTTTCCTTCAGGTAAGGAATCATATAGATGCAGGTGATTTTTGGAAACTTCTCCATTCCTATAAGGATCCTTCAAACTCTATTGGATGGGCTGAATCTATCCTGTCTGTTGAAGAGTATCCCTTTCTAAAAAATCATTTTTTTTCTACCAAACATCTCCTTAGTGTATCGTCACAGAGTCTTTCCTAGACTCCTTGAAGGGAAACTAATGTACAGTGAAATATTTTCATATAGGAATAAATCTAAGAAACTTTAGGAAGTGAAGTGATCTAAACATGCTAAGTGAGTTATGCATTACAACAAAACACAAAAGGAAAGTTACTTTTCTTTCCTTATTAAATGTTCCTTCTTGTTCATCTCAGGTCTCAATAAAATGATATAGCATTTGGGGGAAAATATGCATCCCAG